GAGAACTACGTGAGTCGCGGGGTGCCGGGGTGGTTGCAGCGTCCCTGGGCTGGTGTCCGTGAGCCCCGCGTCGGTCCCGGGAACAGCCGTTCCCCAGGGGCCGTTCCGACATCCGATGGGGTTCTAACGAGTGATTTTCTCCAATTCTCCCAGGTCCAAGAGTTGCTGGAAAAGGCGTCGGACTCCAGAGTGAGTAGGCGGTTCCTTCTGCCCTTGTGTGCTGTGTCCTGAGAGCTGGTCAGCAGAAACCTGGGTCTTTTTAGGGAACTGGCGATGGAGGCTGTTTGATCCTTGCCTTTTCGGATAGATGCTGGGGTTATTCTTGGCTCTTTGTCTCTGCCCCGTTCCTCCTTGCCTTGCTGACACGATCCTGTGAACTCCTGCGCCTCAGTCGTGAAGTATTTGTCTGAACAGAGCTTTACCCCTGTGCTCTCTGCTGCAGGAGATGTGCAGTCCTCACCTAACGCTTAGTTTGAGGAAAACACATCAAAAACTCATCGGTTTGTGGTTGCTCAGTTACAAAAGAGATTTGCTGTCCCCATCCACCTTGTAACGCTCCGCAGCCACAGCCCCGGCCCTCTCCAGGGTGAAGCAATCTCAGGACAGCCTGAGCCGTGTCTGTCAGGGTAAACAAAAGCAGACGAGTTAGTGTCTGGTATTTTGTTTGTGGGCAAACTGAGACTTCAGTCCTGCAGAGGGGAAAAAGGGAATTGTCATTCAAACCTAACGTTCCTCTCTGCTTTCAGATTCTGTCCTCTTGTCCAGAGATTAAGTGGCATTTTATTGGCCATCTGCAGAAAAACAACGTCAACAAGTTGATGGGTAAACCCTGTTTAATTCTGTGTGCAGTGACGCTGTGGGCAATAGTCTTCCAGTGGTTGAATAATAACAGCCTCTGGTTGGTCACAGCGAGCTGAGTTGTAGGTACAAAAACTTCTGTGCCAGCAGGATTGCCCTCGGCCTGTTTTTTTCCCCAGCTGTCCCGAACCTGTTCATGTTGGAAACGGTGGATTCTGTGAAACTGGCAGACAGAGTCAACAGCTCATGGCAGAAGAAAGGGTCGTCTCAGAAGTTGAAGGTCATGGTGCAAGTTAACACCAGTGGAGAAGACAGTAAGTGGCTTTTTCTCATGGTGTGCACGTTTGTCCTGCTGACTTGATAGAACAACCTGAACGGGGCGGGTCGGTTTGTGCTCTTCAAGTGTTTCTCTAAGCTAAGATGAAACTGGCTCATCTGTGAGCTTCCGCCTGGCCACAGGGAGGGGAGGTTTCTGGTGGAGCTCGGCACAAACCTCCCTGCTTTTTGCCAGGTAAGCATGGCCTTCCTCCCAGAGACACCGCCGCTGCTGTGGAGCATGTCATCAACAAGTGTCCACACCTGGAATTTGTGGGGCTAATGACAATCGGCAGCGTCGGGCATGACCTTAGTAAGGGGCCAAATCCTGACTTCCAGGTAAGATTTTCTAGAAGAAAACATGAGCTGTTGGCTGGACTTCTCTGTTGTCTGTCCCAGCCAAACCGGTACGCAGTCAAGCTGTGAGTCTGCCTGTAGATTGTCAGTAGAAACACCCTGGTCAGAGGAGTGCAGACCTCTGAAGTGTCAGTGTTAACGCGGGTGTTAGGCTCATTTCTGCGGAAGCCAGGTGCCCGTATGTGTTTGGTTCTCTGAAGCTGTAGTCAGGATATCGGCAGGGCACCTCGTGCAGAAATTACTGTTCTGGATCCTCTGTTTCTGCTTTCGGATGAGCTTCCAGTCTGCCTTCCTTGGCACACTGCAAAAGAACTGGGTCTGCCTTCGTCCGTCATGCTGGTGTGATAACTGGATGTCTTCAGAAGATGCGTGGACTTGTCAGTGCGTGTGTTGTCAGTAACGCAGCCTGTAGTGGGAAATCCCTCGGCGCCGTTGCGATGCTGCAGAGCAGGCTTCAGGGGGAAGTGTGGGATTTTCACGTTCTGTGTGAAGGAGACTTTCAAAGAAAAGCAGAAATTGCGATCTGTGAAACCTTGAAACTGAGCTGGTGTGGCTGACAAGTGTGATCTTCTCTTCTTTCCTCCTCTCGTCTAGACACTGCTGTCCTTGCGGCAGGAGGTGTGTGAAAAGCTGAATCTCCCTGTTGAGAAGGTGGAGCTGAGCATGGGCATGTCCACGGACTTTCAGCACGCAGTAAGTCTGCCTTCCTTCTGCCACCCCTTCTCTCGGGAACCAAAGGTACCACACCAGCAGTTGGCACCCCAAAGTCCAACCCAGGCGTCATCCACATGGGCCTCTTAGGCCTCCCCTTGGATGAAGATATTGATGGTGCTGTTCCATGAAAAACAGCTCTCCTGGTCCTGGGATAGGGTTCTGGGGATCAAAACAGACCCTAGCTGTAGCTGCGGGCGGCGAGTACATGGGGAACCCTCCTTCTGTGACATGGCGAGGTTGGACACGGACTGTGTTGGCAGGTGTGGGTGGCAGCCCTGCCCTCAACTCCTCCTCCTTTCTGTCTCTTCATAGATAGAGGTTGGATCCACAAACGTCAGGATTGGAAGCACTATTTTTGGAGAGCGAGATTATTCCAACAAAGCAGTCAGTGGCAAGGCCCCTGCTGAAACTGAAGGCAAAACGGAGGCCTTGACAGTGCAGGGTCATTAGATGGAAAATAAAAAAGTGGCCTCGACAGAGGACAGATGATGGGAGAGACCTCACTATGCATTCTTACCTTCCTCCGTGTCGGCACCCGATCACGACAGTGAGAGGGAATTCCTCGTAAGAGAGCAGAGGCCAGAAATGCCTCGTAATTTATTGTGATTATTATAGAGTACCCATAGGAACTGGAAACTTTTATAACCAACAAATGATGAGAAAAATATGTGGTTGAATGTGACTGTGGTCTCTTGACTCCTTCAGGGTCATTGTAACAGTGACTTTTGGATAACTGGGTTGAACAAACTGTTTGTCAGGGTGGAGTTGCTGATGAGCAAGATGTATCTGCAGCTGTGTCGGTCATTCTGTCTTCACTGAGGACTAAATTCTTCATTAAACAAGTTATAATCTTGCCAGAGACCTGTAAATGTTTCTCCAAATAAGAGTCTTGCCCGTGGTCACTAGTGAGGGATGCTGACGTAGAAGCTGTGATGGAGACACGCTGTGACACTGGAGGGACTATCCCGTTTCAGCAGAGAAGGAATCACAAGCACACGAGGATGGATGAGGAGCACGGTTGCCAGCATGAGTTCATGGCGTAGTGTTTTGGATGCAGATCACAAGTGTGGGGGTGTCTTTTTCGGCTGAAGTTTATATTTGTTCTCTTCAGGCTGATGCTGCTGGCTTTTCCCATTGGTTCTGTGTCTGCTCAGACCTTCTGGGATGCTTTCAACCTTCCCCTTCCCCTCTTGTGAAGTGGTGTTGGGAGTTATTTTTGTTCTGCCTCGTCGTTCTTGGCGCTGTAAGTTCATTTTGGCCAGAATGGGGCTTTTCTGCAAGGCCCTTGGTCTGCCACCAGCTCGCTGCTGCTTTCCAAGGCAAGTCGCTTGACCGTTCGGTGCCTCCACCATCCCGTCCATCTGCTCGAGGATAATCATACTTGCTTGGCTCGCAGGGCAGCAGCGAGGTTTGCCAGAGGCCCTTCAGGAAAAGTACTTCGAAAAGTAAAGTATTCTTGTTCCACTGTGTCCCACGTTCCTGAAAAAAAGTCCTGTTGCCGCTGGCAGCGCTTCTGGGCTGTGTGATCGCGTCTGAAGCGCTGGTCTGGCCGTCGCTTCTGGAAAATGGGACTCTCGCTGCAGTAACCGTTTCATTCAGACGTGAGCAGAAACTTCTGCGTTGTGTCACACGCCGTTTGGCCAACGGTAGCCACGGCAAGTGTTGCAGCTGCATCTTTAGGCTTTTGTGTGCTGCTAAGGGGAGGAGGCAGCAGCAACACCCTTCCCGGGCTTTTCTCTGCGTGCGTGCGGTGAAGTCCAGCCGTCGGTTTTGCTCTCTGACCGTGAACGCTGAATGTAAACGCAAAGAGCCAGCTCTGGCCCCAGCCCGTCGTAGCTACGTGGTTTGGAAGCAACGTGCAGCCCGAGCTCCCTCCTCGGCTCTGCGCCGTCTGGTGTTCCGTAGTCTGTTCATAAAACGTGGTGAATTTTAATGCCATCTGTGCCAACTATAAAGCTATTAAAGATGTTATTTTTATGTTCCAGCGTGGTGAATAAATGCCCGGAGTTGTCGCTGAAGCTGTTTCCCTAACCCCGAGCCGCTGTGGAGCGAGGAGGATTTGGATTTGGGCAGGAGGGTGGTTTGAAGGACAGCGGGAACAGCTGGCGAAGGAGGTGAAGCTGCTTTGATCAGAAGGGGGAAAAACCAGTAGCTGGTGGGCGAGGTGTGGGATGGTGGGAGCTGTTTGTGGAGCTGCCCTCTGGGTGGCACTGGCTCCCCAGGCCTGGGCCAGTGCTCCCGGGCACAGAAAGGACCACAGCCCGCCGGCTGCCTGCGCCCAGGTACGCATCAATAACGAGCCGCCAAAATAACTCTATTTTCCATCTGATGGTTGAAGTGAATCCCTTCCTCTTCCGCCTTGCTCTTCCCCAGAATTTCGGCACCACGCACTGACTGCAGACCCTCCGTGTGCGGATTTCACAGCACTCGGAGCCTTTCTTTTATTCCAGAGTAAATGAAACAGAACAAAGTCAGGACACTTGTTCTCTCCGAGCGCGATTCCAGCCGGCAAAGGCTCCCGGTGTCCCTGGAGTGTTTATTTGCGCCCTGTGGGATGTTGGCTGGAGCTCTCCGTAGCAAACGGAGAACGAACGTGATCTGCCTGGGCTTCCAGAGCTGCTCCGCTCGCCCCTCGCCAACGGCCCTTTCCCACCAGCCTGCGGCTCCCAAACCAGCCGCGCTGCCGCCGCTCCTTCCCTTCGAGCGCAGGACGGTGGGACGGGTTTGCGCTGAGCGTTGTCTCGCGCTGTAGCTCGCGTCCCCTCTTGCTTGTTCCTCTCTCAGGCATTTTGTGCCGCTTTCCTGAGGTGAAACTGGGCACTAGCCCAGCTTACTGGAGTAGTGAATGGTGTGAACTGGGAGGTGGGTGTGCACGGGTGGCTGTGTGGCAGGGCAGGGCTTGCCCTGGTTTGCGTGGTCCCTGGAGAGCCGTGCCACGTGGTGCCAGGGATGCTCTCAGCTGCGGGCACCGCTCCCCTCCGGCCGGGCGGTGCACGGGCACGCGGGTGGCCCGTGGGGAGCAGCTCCAGTGCTGCTGCAGCTGCAGTGGCCCATGTTGGGCTGTGACAAGGCGCTGGAGAGGAGAGGAGAGCAGCGAGAGCTTCTGCTCCTGTCTTCTGCAGCTGTTTCACCCATCGTGCTCCCAGCTGGCTTTTTCCTTCTGACCGCGTCGTGCCCGAGAGCTTTGCTGTGCCCCTCTTGTGGCTGAGCCTCCCTGAAGCCGGTGCAGTGGGCAGTGCCCATCGGCCTCTTCTGTTCCTCCTCGAGGTGCCCACCTGGAGCCGGAGCCGGGAGGGTGCAGAGCCGCCGTGTCGGTGACGCCGGACACCTGTCCGGGGGGAGCGGGGCGCAGACCACCCACTCCTTCCGCAGAGGTCACTCAGCAGATGGGAACTGTTGGTCACTGGAGAGGAGCCAAGGAGCCGGAGATGAAAGGCTCCCCGGCCTCTTAGTGAACCCTCCCCGCTCCGGCACCCCGGCCCCCTGCGACACGGCGTTATTTACACCCATTAAAAGCACTTGGCCCGTGTATCGAGGCAGCCGTGCTCTCGCTCCCCGCTCCTCGGGCAATGTCACTGTCAGTGTTTGCCTGGGAGGGAGGTGCC